GTGGGCAACGTGGGCAAATCCAACGAGTGCCAGAACTGTGCTAACAAACACAGGTGGTGAATTGACCACGTCTGCAGGCAGAAGAGAGTCAGGATTTGATGTGTTCCTTGCCTCCTGGAAGCAGGGAGCCTTCTCCTCTGCCTGGCTTTGGAAAAGCAGCATCATTGCCTCATGTGTCCTCTGCACTAGCTGAGATCTGTGGGAAGGGAGAGGGAACTTGGCCTTAGGAAAAACTGCTTCCCCACTTTGCTGCAAACCATTTTGTCCTCATCTGCCCTTCATGCTGAGCAAAACTTCTTTGCCTAGGAGCTTGGAAAAGGATGTTCTCTAGGCTTTCTGGGGACAGAAGCCATCAGGCAGGTTCTGCTGTAGGGGGCTTTCAGAATCTGCCACAGATGATGCAGGAGAGCCTGGGGACCCAACCTTGTACTTCCCCAAAGCTCTTGTGTTAAAATTAGCATTTACTTACCATCAGCAAAGTAGAGGGTGGTTCTCTGGAGATTGCCAGAGGTCCAGTGGTGTTCAGGGCTTTACTGACTAGCCCAGGTGAGGGGATTATGTTGATTGTATTTGCAGATGACATTGGATGAGCAGTGAAGTGCAGTGAGTTGCAGAGGGCCCCAAGTGGTTTGAGCAGCTCAGTATCAGCTGCAGGTTGTTTAAAAAGAAGAGGAAGTTGGTGCACAAAAATAGCTGAAGAGCAGAATTGTGGAATCCCAGACTGGTTTAGCTTGGAAGGGACCTTAAAGTTTCTATGGATTTTATAGAAGTCCATGACTGGGCAGGAGAGAGAACTAAATTCACCTCCTTGCTGCAGGAATGGTAATTAAATATCATTCCACATGTACCCAGAGAGCTGATCAGCAAATAAATGTTCATCTCTGAACCAGTCCTGGCCCATTTGACCCTACTGAGTGTGTGGGGTGGAGCCTGGGCTGTGGTGTGTGGAGGGGAGATGCCAGAACTGGTCAGGGACAGGGCAGAGGAGCTCTGAAATCAGAAACACTTGGTTACCAGAGACTTTTGGAGGTTTCTTATCCCATCCAGCTCAAGATGGGGCTGTTGCCAGTACTAGATGATATTGGCTGTGACTTCTTCTTCCTGACAAAGCCTTGAAGGGCTTCAAGGGTGAAGATCCCTCACCTCCCTGGTGACCTTTTCCAGGGCTGTACCATCTTTCCAGGGATTTTCTGCAACCACCCCCAGTCTGAGGTTTCCTGATAGGGACATTCTGAGGTGCAGCTTCTCCCTGTTGCCCCTTGGCAACATTTGGACCTGTTGTGTGTTTTGTAATCCTTGTAACTAGAATCCTGGAATCCCAGACTGGTTTGGGTTGGAAGGCATCTTAAAGATCACCTAGTTCCAACCCCCCTGCATGGGCAGGGACACCCCCCTGTTTCTGCAGGTTTCTCCAAGCCCTATTCGACCTGCCCTTGAACACTTCCAGGGATGGGGCAAAAACTACTTTCAAATAAATGTAATTTGCTGGTTCATTGTCCTTAGAGTTCTCCTTGCCAGGTTGAACAAGCCCAGCTCCTTCCACACCCCTCCCTGCAGGCCGTGTGTCATGGACCCCTGGCCACCTTGGTAGCCCTAACACAAATCTTCTCCACATCCTTCTCCAGCTGGGGAGTGGCCAGGCCAGATTCCACAAAGCAAATTAAAAACTTTTGGTTTTGTTTTGGGAAAAAACCCCAACCAACCAATGTAGGAAAAAAGAGGGTAAGATATAAGAGGGGGAAAAAAATCACCTTTGGGATGTGTCGGGTAGGGATGAGTTGTCCTTGCTACTTCAGTGTTTCCTTCTTGCCCCTGTGCAGTTTGGTGCAGTTCCAGTGAGGTGCTTTGCTGTTCACCAGGATCTCTGTCAGCTTCACTGGGTAGTTTGGATGCTGAAAGAGGCTGAGAAGATGCTAAGGAGAAACCTGGTAGAATGGGATCCAGAAGAGTTGTTTGGATTCTAACAGAAACCACCCAAGTGGTGCCAGGACAGACAGCTGTAAATTGGTCACCCAGGACTGAGCTATGTTGCACTAAGCAAATCTACTTTTAGTGTCTCCTGATGATTTATAAACTTAAAATTTCCAAGCAGCAGGTTATATCTACCTTGCCTGCCCAAACTGGTATTTTCTGGGAGAGAAACAGGAGTGCCATTAAGCTGGGCTGTGCTGGATACTTAAACCTGAGCTTTGAGGAGATGTTTGGACAGAAGAAGGGGCATTTCACCCCCTCTGCCAGACGTCTGGGGTGGATTCTGACTAAAATGGGAAGATGAAGAAAGGCAAGTCCTGCTCTTCTGCAAGGTGCTGCTCTTCTGCTGGAGCCTGGACACTGCTGGTGTTTGGTGCAGCTCCTCACCCTGTTGCACTTCTGGGTGCTTGGGCTCCAGGAGGTGAAAAAAGAGGAGCAGAGGAGCTGGTGCCAGCAGGGAGCAGGCTGTGGTTGCACTAACAAATAAGACTGTTTTAGGATTTACTCCCCCTTGTTTGCTCTCTTGAAAGCAGGCAGGGCTTGTGCAGCGACAGCTTGAAGCCTGCAGGAGGGGATGTGTGTGTAGGTGGAAGGTTAGAAGCTTATCTCTTCATCCTCTGCTGCACTAACCAGGCTGAGAAGAGAAACCCTTTGTCCTTGGGGAAGATTCTTCCTCCCTGTCCTCCACCATTTCTTAGTTACTGGGAACTGGCACCTCGAGGTGCTGATTAGGTTCAGTTCCAGTTCTCAGCCAGGAAGTGCATCTTGTAAGAGGATTCATTCAGAATGAGAGAGCATCATTCAGCTCAGGGTGGAGTTTGGGAAATAAGAGCAGTGAAGGTGTCAGGATACCCAGGTGTTATGAACAGGCTGGGACTCATTTAGTCAGTGCAGGGAGCTGGTGCTCCAGCAATTCCTTTGGAGGTTCCTGCCTCTTTCTTTCCCTGCTCACCTCTTTGGTGGCAGCCTGGACTTGGGGACCTCATCTTGTCACCTCCATTCTCCCAAGTCCAGGTGTCTTCACCCTGACCTTCCTTCACACACAGTTTCTCAGCCAAGGCTGTGGTGAAAGTCCCTTGTGTCTATAACTTGCTGACACATGTTTAAGAGATGGCTGTGAAACCAGCCAAGCTGAAATGTGGGATTCCCCCATTTTTCCATGCCAGTTTTTTTTTTCTTGAGGCTAGCAAGGCCATCCCTGGCTGGAAAGAAAAGCTCTGTGTTTATTTTTGTTGTAGCTGCTCTGGTGTTGCTGCCTGATTCCAGCTGAACATTCAGTGCTTGTGCAGGGAAAATCAGGTGGCTGTTTCCATTCCAAAAGCTGGGTTAAGGAAGTTCACAAGCACCAGATGGCTGCATGGCCTGATAATGCTGTGGATTATTCAAGGGCTGTTGTATTTTCCTCTTTCATCCTTCCTTCAGTCCTCCACCAATGAATGTGGAATGCTTGGGAATCTGTCCTTTGCACGAGGTGACAGCGTGGTCCTGGGCTGGGTCACCACGGGATGGAAGGAGCTCCTTGCAGTGTTCACCAGGAGGGTTCCTGGGGTTTTACCAACTTAAAGCTGCTGCTTTGCCAATGGATGTTGGAGTTTCTGGAGACCAATTTCATTTCTCCAGGGGCTGGGGTTGAAAATTGCTAAATTCATTCCACTCAGTGCTTCAGTCCCATGTTGCCTTCCCTGTTTTTAAGGAGAAGGCTTCAGTGAAATCAGACCAAGGATGGGGATGGTGCAGCCAGTGAAACCTCCTGCTGCGTAAACAGATCAATCAACTGATTTGTGTTTGCTGAGCAGAAGAAAAATCTAATTGCAAATACTCCCTGTGCAACTTTTGTGGGGAAACCAGAGTAATTGGAATAATGAGAAATCCAATTGGGTTTTGTTGGGAGTTTATTCTTCTTTAGATTTGATTAGACTGGCCTGGTGTGGTGCCCAGGCCTCTCAAGGCTTGGGCTGCTCACGTGTTCCCAGTTTCTCTGTCTTCAGACTGGGATGTTCTTGATGGATTTCTTCAACTTCTAAATTATCACATTTGTCATCTTTTAATATGACTTGAAATTATTGAAGTTGTGTTGTTCCTGGTGGTTAGAGCCTTGTTTCTCCCACCAGATTCTCCAGGCTGTGCTTCCTTCCTGAGCACCCTGGCTCTACCCTGAACACCAGCAAGAACATTTCTTCTCTTGCCTAGTTCTTGGCAGTGTCATATATCCCCCTTCTGTCTGCACAGAATTACTCACAACTGGACATTTTTCTGTGAACTTCTTCAGCTTCTTTTACTCCTCACGGGGTTTTTCCTGGTTCATCACCAGGAGCTGTGACTGAGATGTGGTTTCTGACAAATCCCAGAGTCCCAGACTAGTTTGAGTGGGAAGGGACCTTAAAGATCACCCATTGCCACCCCCTGCATGGGCAGGGACACCTCCCACCAGCCCAGGCTGCTCCAAGCCCCATCCAACCTGCCCTTCAACACTGCCAGGGATGGGGCAGCCACAGCTTCCCTAGGCAACCTGGGCCAGTGTCCCACCACCCTCATAGCAAAGAATTTCCTCCTCATGTCCTGTCTCTCTTGTGTTCCAGCCCTGGCCCAGCGTGTCCAACCTGGCCAAGGACTTCATCGACCGCCTGCTCACGGTGGACCCCGGCGACAGGATGACGGCCCTGCAGGCCCTCAAGCACCCCTGGGTGGTCAGCATGGCAGCCTCCTCCTCCATGAAGAACCTCCACCGCTCCATCTCCCAGAACCTCCTCAAGAGGGCCTCCTCCCGCTGCCAGAGCACCAAGTCTGCCCAGTCCACCCGCTCCCGG